AAGCCTAGTGCGGAGCGATAGTCTTGCTCTTCGCAGAATTGTCTGACTTTGTCAAACATGCGCGACGGCGGTGTTATGCCCCTACGCTGGGCGCGTCTCACGTACTTTTCGTACATGTCCTGGACCTTTTGTACCAGTTTTTGCGCTTTTGACGGGCTCACCTGGCGCAGCTGGTAGCGCTCATGGTCGGCCTCCGCCGACTGGGTGCGTTGAGGGTTCCTGGGACTGGCCATGAGGGCTAAATAGAAAATGTTTGAAGAAACTGAGATGTAGGTGCGGAAGCGTTGGAGTACTCGACTCCGAGGTCTTTTGACCGGTTGGTCTAAGATACCAAAGTTGTAACAAAGCTTGCAGTTGGCAAGCAGTTGCGAAAAAGGAAATTATCCAACGATAAAGGTGGTATTGATAAATACCGTTTGGTATTGGAAGATTATGAATAGTTCTTGGATGTACCGTTGGTACGATACCGTTGGCCCGGTGAGCCAAGGGCCGCCTTAGCGGCGTTACACTACACCCCATCTCCAACCAAGCCTCGACACTAGGGTTTGGGTAACCGACTCAATAGGGGGCACCATCGCTTCCCTAGATTCTACACTCAGCGGCAACAAAAGACTAGCCGCCTGTCTCCAATTCGCTGGAATATCATCTAGAAGAGCGCCAATAGCATCCATACATTCCTGCCATTTACGATAGGTGCACAGGATTTAGCTAGTGGGGTTTGCGGTTGGAGGTATTGATCCACTATTTGATGCCAAGCCTTGCGTATTGCTAGGCCTGCTTGGTCCGTTGTATTCATAACTCCATCCAAGGCCTCGCGCGCGCAAAGAACATCCCCCAACGTATGCAATGCTTTACAGCCCAGGAGGGCTTGATGTCGAAATTTTAGTCCCGGGCGGATGTTATCTGACTGAACATTCAACCTTTTTTCTGGAAGCACAGGGTTTCCCCACAATGGCAAATTCCAACACCACGCATTAGGAACTAACGGGTGATCATCAACATCTTCCACTGGGGGAAGGTATGCCAACGCTGTCACAATGCGCTGAACATCTGGCGGTAAAACGATTAATCCAAACCAAGGCACTCCCACCTGGGACGTAAAAATACACATAGGATTAAATTTGGGGTAAAGGCTATGTAGGAAAGATTGCATGACCTTCACCCAAGGCGGACGCACTAAGACTGGTTGGAGTAATGCTCCCACAAAACGCACTGCCCAGCATGCCCATCGCGCTTGCACATGTTGTCGTACTGCTAATGCCCCAAAACCGCCCAAAGTTGGATGGCCATATAACAAATATTTAGGAACCCCGGTGAGTCGTCTTTCTTGTGCGACCGGTCCGAGGTTCCTATCAATAAGCTTGGCCGCTTTAGCCTCAATATTCATGAGTTGAGCTTCTGGGGGAAACCCCCCGTGTTCCATATGCCACGTAAAGCGATGCAGCCCATATGCAGCCGCTGCATGTGCACGCCCAAAAATGGAAAGATTTAACACAGAAATGCGTCGAAACCGAGCCCAGACTTTGTCTAGTTGCACATCCCAGTCCCTGACTGTGGTTTCTCTCACATCCGTAAAAGGTAGATTGAGAGCCGTAGCCATATGTACGACCTTCATGTCATGATTTATTGTTATATGATGTGGGTGGGTGCCGAGAGGTAACAGCTCAACCTTATCCAGGTTAAGTTGCTGTCCTGAAGCCTGTGCGTAAACCCTCATACAGTCAAGGAAAGCCGGAATTGCTTGGATTCCTTCTAAAACAACTTCCGTATCATCAGCAAATTGCACACCTGTAACCAATTCTGAATTATTTTGGGGTAAATGAATCCCCACTCGGTTGTACTGTAACCAACACAGTAACGCCTGCGCGGCAAACAAGTATAGCAACGGTGCCAACGGACATCCCTGTCGCACACCCGCTGTAAGAGCAACTTCACGGGAAACAAAACCATTTACTACCGCTTTCGACACTGTATCGGATAAAAGAAGTTTAGTCCAACTAATTAACCCTGCTCCTGCGCCCATAGCATCCATTGCTTCAAATAAAAAATTACGATCTAAGGAATCGTAAGCTTTAACAATATCCAAAAAAGCCAGGAGACACGACTGTCCTGTCGTCGACATAAGTTGCGGTAGATGCCGCAGTCCTGGTGCCGTTGCGCGATGCTCCTTTCTCGTTGAGGAATTCCCTGAGCACAATTTATGTCCGCGCCTTAACTACCTTCACATGTCATTTCCATCGCTATCGTACAGCCACCCTAGAGAGACTTTCCCTAGTCATTTTCGAGCTGCCCCATTCCGAGGCGATCTCTGTCATACCACCTATGAGAGGCTGGCTCGCCCACCACCCGGCCCGAAAGACCACCCTTCCGATAAATACGGGAACCTTCCCCGACAGCATGTGAACCATATGCGCGGCCAGAGAACATTTACATGTTTTTGTTCCATGTATATATCTGCATCCAGGTAAACTGTAATGTGCTGAAAGCGGCAAACACTGAAGAGTCCTAGACACCTCGAAGGAAGAAGTCCCATGCTTATCAAAAATTAATTAATAAAAAAGCGTTGCTACCGTAAAGGCTTGACCCTCCCATGCGTTTCCGTAAGCATTGGAAATTTACGCCTGGCGTATCTCCGTAATGTTACGTATTTCAAACAGAGATTTTTTCGTTTCTTAAATAACTCTTTTTAACTGTTCATAGGGAAAGCGTAATGTGTGTGTGTGTGTTACATGCTTGGGGGTGCGTGACCCCATACCTGTACAGAGGGTTGCAAAAACGGTCTAATCCCCCAATCCCGGGGGGTGGTAGTGGTCAGCCATCCCCCCATCCTGGCTGGGGTGACCGACTCCCATCTCCCATCTTAGGGGCCCGGTGCTAATCCCATCCCTTGAGACAGGTTTCCCATCCTGCCAGCCTGGGTCCCATCCCCAATCCTATGGCCAGGGATTCCAATCCCATCCTGCAGCTGTGTTCCCCCAATCCTCAACCTGCCAGCCAGGGTCCCTTCCCAATCCCTTCGACCAGGGCCATCCCCATCTTGCAGCTGTGTCCACAACCGAAAGCTGTCAGCCAGGGTCCCATCCCCATCCCTTGCCAGCTACAAACCTACTCCTTACGTTTACACAGGTGCTGTAATATCGGCTTTCTCTTTAGGCGTAAATCAGGGGAATTGACCAGGGTTATTTTCTATTTCCGCGAGGTATTTTTCTCTTGCTCTATGGCTTATTTCCTCTAGCGTCAAATTCCGCCCGGCTGTGTTCGTTCCGAAGCAGACTGAAGCGACAAACGCTCGTTGAAGCGGATCTCGACTGAGGAGGAACTCGCATCACAGAGGTCTACGTATCTAATTGCAAACTGGCTGCTAGTGCAGGATTGTTATGTTCGATAGACGGCCACAAAAACAAATTATAATGCTGTGCTTAGAATGGCAGAACATACAAGGGTGTTCTGTCAAAAAGTCCATGGCTGGGAACGTGCTGATGATGGCGAAGGAACGGGTGCACCATTGGTTCACCCATAGCATAGGTCTTCAGCTGCACAGTCCGGCGCCAACATTCCACATTGGGCGCGCCAAAGCGCTACGACAAACAACCTGACAACATTACATTAAGCCAGGCATTCCAATTGGAATGCTTTTGAGTCGACTTGGACTTCTGAGCAAGAATTGCTCCTATGCACTAAGACATTTTGTCGCATGTGGAGAGTTACGTGGAGTTGTGCCACAACAAAACCATGAAGACTGCAAACTTTCTCAGAATTGTGCATACTGGCTTGATGCGGCCAGCATGTTCGCGCCTTGCAACTTCAGCTCAGTTTGCATGAATATAACCAATAAAACATCACAGTACTAGAGAAGCAGTTTGTTTGAGGAAGTACTTGAAAGCGTAACAACTAACTCCAGGTGGGCCTCACTTCGAGCCAGGACCCCCAAACCGGCTTGCTGTTGATAACGTCTTGTTGGCTTAGATGTGACGGAGCGAAGCGACCTGAGCTTCTAAGGCTGGTTCTGTGGCACTGTCGTACAACTGGGTCGCAGTGGCGACTTAATTCTTGCTGCTCTCCTGGTGAAGTCATTCTGCCTTCACGCAGAAGAGCATACAGCCTTGTCCAACTAGTCAGCGTGACAGGCTGTACTTGGACCCCCAAACCGGCTTGCTGTTGATAACGTCTTGCATGTTGATACGCCTAATGCGGACTTGACCCCCAGTAGGGTCTGCAGATTGCATACAGATTACATTCGGGTCTTATTCAAAGTGTCCCAAGCTTCGTCTTGGAAGACGCCCACCTTGTTAAGCGCAAGCTAGTAACAGCCCGACGACCGTTTGTTATCTCTTCCAGAATGGCACCCGATGGTGCCCTGGATGTGGATGTGCATGGGCCGGACAAGGTAAGAACGGGGTTGGACTGCGTCTGACTGAAGAACTGGCAGGGTGCACCAATGGTGCACTTTTCTCACATTTACACCAAGTCGCGTTCCATGCCTGTTATATTCCCAATGGTGTTAACCTTCTGCAGAAGCGTCAAAAGCTGGCAAAATTGGCGGGGTTGGGCTTCGCCAGGGACATGGCCGAAGTCCTCGTGGAAACGCTTGGGATGGACCCCATCGGGCAGTCGACCGATGCCGCAATCGCCAAAACATTGTCTGAAGAAGGCTTGGTGGACTTGGCGTCAGTGAAGACCGTGGCTGGCGGTAAGAGCCACTTCAGCCTAAATTGGTTTCATCGCTTGCTGAACAGGACTGGACAGGACTGAACAGGACTGACCAACCACTACAGGGTATACTTTATCGACTCTTGCGCTCTTTGCAATGGGTCTTGTTTTAGGTCGATGCCTACGCCCATACCAATGGAAGTTTGGGACCCTGGCATGTAACCGACTTTGTGAGCCGCAGCCTGTGACGCCGACTCCATTCGGTTTTGTTTTGAACGAAAGGTGCAGACTTGCTGTTTTGTCACCGCCTGCTTTCTGTCTTCCTTGCTGGCACAGAGGTCGAAGTCAACGCACGGCTGGCGGATGCGGATTCCGAGGTGGCAATCAAGTCGCTGAGGGCCCTCGCCCCGAACCTTAAAGCTCTCCAAGCCCTCAAGCTTGCAAAAGCAGCATGTGCCCCGACTGCGCAGCCCGCTGACGAGTTGGGCGAGGGTGCGTCACCACGGCTGGAGAAAAAGCGCAGTACTAATGAAGAGATGGCCAAGGCCGTGTGTTTGAGTTTGGTTTGCTATGGGACGCGACTTATAAGCAGAACTTCCTTGTGTTTGAGTTTGGTTTGCTATGGGACGCGACTTATAAGCAGAACTTCCTTGTGTTTGAGTTTGGTTTGCTATGGGACGCGACTTGCAAGCAGAACTTCCTTGTGTTTGAGTTTGGTTTGCTATGGGACCCGACTTGCAAGCAGGACTTCCTTGTGTTTGAGTTTGGTTTGCTATGGGACGCGACTTGCAAGCAGAACTTCCTTGTGTTTGAGTTTGGTTTGCTATGGGATGCGACTTATAAGCAGAACTTCCTTGTGTTTGAGTTTGGTCTGCTATGGGACGCGACTTGCAAGCAGAACTTCCTTGTGTTTGTTTGAGTTTCCATGTAAGCAACTATGGACAACTAAACCATCCATCCTTGGCCTGTTTTGCAGTCCTGTCAGTATTCCCAGTTCTGCACCTGCAGCCTCATTTTACAGCAGAACACCCAATTCTAATCCTCCAACTGTGTTCCAATCCTATGGCAGCGAGCTCATCCTAAACTTGCGAAAGCCTGCCATCCCCGTCCTGTCGACCAGGGTCCCATCCCCATCCCTGGCCAGGGCTCCCAATCCCCTCCTTGGTCAAGGTTGCAATCCCCATCCCTCAGACAAGGATCCCGTCCCCATCCTCACCCCGACAGCAATCCCCATCCTAAAAGTAGTGTAGCACGCCTAATCCCTAATCCTCGCCTTGGGCCCCACATCCCATCCTGACGTCGTCAACCCTATTCCCCATCCCGCCTGACCAGTACCTGCCCCCAATCCCCCATCTCTGCAACCCTCTGGTTCCCCTTCCCGTGCCGCCCGCTTCACCGCCGACAACGAAGGGCCGAGTACGGTGTGAAGTACGGGTAATTTAATGGTTCGCAAGGCAAGACGTCCGGGGGTTCCTGACTCGAAGTGAGGCCCAGGTGCGTTCGTTATAGAGATTGTACGGCACTATCATTTTTTGGGCGGGGCCCCAGCGCGATGCGCCCAGGGGGCCCCCGCTCTGTAGGATTGCCCATGTCCGTGTGGCCGTGTGGCCGTGTGTGTGTAACGGACCAAACAGAATATCTCGCCCGGCTGAAACGCGTTATCGGTACTATACAGCAATCTCTATTGCAAGGTATCTCGCATGTAGCTAACAAAGATCGTATGAGCACAAATGAGCACAAACAACTTTGGCTGCCTCCATTGACCGAGGTCAAACTCACATCAACGCCTCTCGGGCTAAATTTCATCTCAAAAGGTGCCGCGTATCGCATAATGGAATTCTGAGATGACAGCGTATGTTAACTCGAACACCTAGCTTTCGTTACCATTTGCCCGCACGGGCAGACCGCAAGTCGGAATGCGGTCTTCCGACTTGCGGTCTGCCGCACTGTCCATGCGGCATGCACCCGAGATGGATGCGATTCGCGTGGAGCCCGCAGGCAGTGCTAACGATTCCGCCGGTGCAAGCTTAGCTCCCACACCATCAGCACTGCTGTAACAAAGCACATCTCCCACCGCGTTGACACTACCCATCAATTGTCACACGTGCCGCGCTGGCTATCGGCCTGTACGGATGCAGGGGGGCCCGCCCTTTTTCTGTGGTGGTGGTGGTGGTGGTGGTGCACCCCTAGGTCCTCAGGACTACTCCCTTCTCACGATGATGGCGTAAGGGGCAATTACCGTTACCTCACTCTCTCACACGCACGCGCACGCGCACGCGCACGCGCACGCGCACACGCGCGCGCACACGCACGCGCACGCGCACGCGCACACGCACGCGCACACGCACGCGCACGCGCACGCGCACACGCACGCACGCACGCACGCACACACACACACACACACACATACCGCAGCGCACAGCAGCTATAGCAGTAGGTGCAGAAGTAGCAGTAGCAACGGCAGTTGCAACGACAGACGGCAGTAGCAACATCAACATCAACAGCAGTAGCAACAGCAGTACAGCCCTCCCCTTCCCCCCCACCGCATTTCCTGCACCGCGCTCCTAGAGCGCCTTCAGTTCCGTCCTACAGCCTCTTTTCCGCCCTCCTCTCTTCCCCCCCAGAAATACAACACTTATACACACATATATACAGACGCGCGCGCGAAACACACACAACAGCCTCAGGGGACCCCGGGGGCCGTACACTGCTAAACGCTTTTCCCCTTCATAGTGGCTCCGTCTTGCAGATATACATACATGCAAACTTACACAAATACAAGAGCGCATCAACACATAAGCGAAAGCGGTCAGCATACAGCAGCCAACATACGAAGCACATACGGCGCTGAAGACGCGGCTAAATCAAGCTTTGCTGGGTAAAAGCTTCTAGAACAATCCTTTCAGCTAATTACTGTTTTCTTTGGCGCGTTGTGTTAGTTGTGGCGATTACATTTCTCGCATTTCCCAAACAGGCTCACGGAGAGGAGTCCTGTCCGCTCGCGCATATTCGCCAGCCGCAGTTCACGAGTTCCCCCGGGGTGTGTATGTGGCAATGTCCCCCGGGTGTGGGGTCCCCGCCCCCTCACCATGGCCACGAGGGGGGGGACGGGGACGGGGACGGGGAGGTTATTCACTCCTTCCCCTTTTCGAAACCTTTCCAACGAACGATTCTAATTCCCTAATGCCTTGCAGCAATTCATGACACCTCCATCCCACTCGCCCGCGGTGGCGCCACCCGCTCACTCACTCTCATGCAGGCACTCGGAGACACCGCTCAACCAGCAAGCTGTACGGCTGTACGGAAAAGAAAAAAAGACAAGCAGCTCACCGCCCCATGAGCCCCATAAACCCTGCGGCCAAGCCAAGCTGGTCCCCTGCCGGTCTATTCCGGGCTTGTGTACGGCTGAGCACAGCGGCTAAGCACATACATACATACATACATACATACATACATACATACATACATACATACATATACACACCACCGACACGAATAAATTAGCGTTGGTAGGTAGGTATGTCCAAGTACTGCTAAACTGTCCACACATATCCAATTCGATCCGCTGCCAGGTGGTGGATGAATCCATTCGGTCATGTGCACCCCCCCTGGAGTCATTTGTTGTGTTGTGTTCTGTGTGTATGTGTGTATGTGTGTCACATTGTGCACAACGACGACGTCGCCCCAACCGCCCCAGAGAGCTATTTCAGAACTGCCTCACCCCTCTCTGTGCTGTACAGAGGTGTACTACACGGCCCTGTATGTACGGATTCCCATCCGGGGTGAGTCACCGGAGGTCGCCCCTCCCCCTTCCTTTCAGCCTTTTCCCCGGCCTGTCAGGTCAAGATGACATACATACATACTGGGGCCGGCTCGACTCGATCGCGAATCTTTACCCCCAATCCATTTAATCCCCCCCAACGACCTCAACGACCCCAACGGCCTGCCTACATCCTGCAAAGGCCACAATCCCCCAATGAACCCCAATACTCACATACAGACACTCACCCCACATCTCGCTGCGCAGTTCATTGAAACACACACGTACACATGCGCACATACATACATACATACATACATACATACATACATACATACTATGACCGTCGGCCAACCGCGGCCGTGGCCACCGACAGCGACCTCAATTGTTTGAGCGTAGTTATGGTTATCTAATTAGCCTGAAAATGTCGCAGAGGCGACCAGCAGTGGCTGTTAGCCGCGGCAATGTTCAAAATGGCCGCCAGCCGACCTCAGCCGCGAGACCGCAATCCATACCGACCAAAAAGATAAAGGCCGTCAGTGGCTTTTACGGAACAAATGAAGGCTTGGCTTTCTACAGAGCCACACTAGAACTGGAACCGATCGTGGTGACAGTCCGGTGGCCAGCGGGCTCAGATACGGGCGACATCATCGCGCAAATATACGGTCCATTAGGACTTCAAATTCTGGCAACAATTGGCCAAATCTTCCGCAGCAACCAGGAGTTCAACCGTTGGGGAGGCCCTCGCATTCAAAAACGGTTGCTTTATCCGATGGGAAGGGAACGGCACATTGTGATGGAACTCTCCATCCTTGTGCCAAAAGGAGGTTTAGCAGCGTTGACAGCGACCAGGCGCATCGTTAACGGGCGATTGCGCGTGCCTGGGGTGCAATTGACCCCGAACATGGAGCCGATGGAAGTGGAGCTGCTGGTGAAGAACCAGCAACAGGCTAAGCCCATTGTGTGGGAGGTGAGAGGCGTCCCGGTCGGCCTCAGCTGTCAGGGCACGGCCGACTTCCTCACCCGGGCATACCGGGCAGACCCCAGTCCCCAGGACGTGACGGAATTCTCG